CTGAGGAATATGGGATCAGTACTGGGAAGGCCACAGAGGAGTCACAAGTTCCATTTAGTGAGGCCTTTCCCAGGGACAGGGATGGAACCTGTCTTGAATTTCCATGGCTCAGCACTGGCAGGCTGGTGCAGTTCCAGGCTGGTGCCCTTCATCCCGAGAAGCAAAAATGGACCTTTCAAAAAGCACTTTTTAACCAYTCCAGGGGCTGCTCCAGCACCTCTGGGAAGCCCCACCTGCCCTATACAGACACTTCTTTCCTTCAGGCTCTGCTCCAAACAGAAAAAAAATGGGAGTGAGTTGTTTCCTGAAGGGATGGATAAACTTCTTTCCACAGCACAGAGATGGAATTGATGAGGAAAACATGACACAGCCAATTAAGCTGGTGCACTAAAAAAGAGCTGCACAGAGCTGTTTATTTTCTGAAGGGTTTTTCTTGTGTCTTCCCKAGATTTAAATGTTTCAAAACGTTTGTAAACACTCCATAATTTAAAGCAGATGAGAGTAAAAGTCACATTGGAAAAGGAATTTCCATTGGTATGACCCACTGATGGAAAAGTTCAGTGCAAGTCTTACCCACAATTAAAAAAACAGCTCAGAAAAGAGGAGATTACAACGTTCCAGGTGTTTTTGCCATCCTGCTCTGTGCCATCCGGGGTTGTTTTGCTCRGGATCTGTAAATGAGCAGGATGATKKCAGCAGGTATTTCACGTCCTTCCAAGAATCCCACGATGTCTCTGCAGCTTCTGGCTCCACAGAACATTCTCAGCTCCCACCTCTGCCCCAGCCCAGGGCAGGACAGGATCCAGCCAAGGCTCAGGGGCTCAGACTTCCACGGGACACACGTCATTCCCTCCAGAGATGTCCTGATCTGATAACTTCTGATACTGACTCCAGCGAGCCCGGGCTAAATTTAGCTGTAGGTTTAATCCTCAAAGAGGCCCTGGGTGCCTGCTGGGAAAAAGCAAATGTTTCAGTTGCTGTTTCAGCGTTTTGTGTGGATTGACAGGTTTCCTTTTCCTATTGCAGAGCCAAAGTCGCTGCCTGCAGCTCTTTCGTGGTGGCAGATCAGCTCCACAGATAGGGAAAGCTCTAAAGGCCTTGTGAATTTGTAATTAAAAACAAAAACAACCAAAGCCAGAGGGTGATTTTACACTGAGCAGTAATAATTCTTTGCAGGAAATGAAGTAACAAAAGGAGGAGGCCAAAGGAAAGAATTTCTGTGCTGAAGAGTTTGTGTAAGGACAAAGCTGGTACAAGAACACCCAGTAAGAGCAGCCGGTGTTCTCAGTTTCCACTTTCCCTTTTGTTATTGATGCCAATATTTACATTGTTGCACACTTTGCCCGAAGAATAAACAAATTATACAACCCAGCGAGGCAGAAAGGCCCGGAGGATAAAGATGGATGTTCTTTTGGCTGCTCCTGAGCGGGGCAGGAGTTGTTCCTTTTAACACTTGCCAGGTGTTCCCCTGCCAAGCACCTGCTCCTTCCTGCAGCCTGCAATGTGGTGCTTCAAACGGCACAAAAAAGCACAAAAAATTACAGATTTATGTGTTTAACAGCGGCACAGCTTTAATCTGGCCCTCAGCTATGATTCTCCATGGTTCTTGTGCTGTTCTTTAGAGGATGTAACTGGCTCCTGTAAGGATGATAGGGAAGGTAAGGCTGGGATAACCTGGCATTTCCTGTTACCTTAGATATTCAGGATTTTTGCTGCAGCCAAGCGTTTTCTCTCAAGATTTTTGTTCTTTGCCCAAATGATAAGAAATTGGAATATGCACCTATACAAGTCTTTCCAGAAAGCTCTCAAAGATAGTTTGGGTTTAGTGTGAGCTCCTTCCATCCYGGAAGAGAGGACACAGCCAAGGCAAAACCACTCACAGAAGAGSAATGACACCATCGATGCCAAATAGTCTGCACTATGGGTTGATGTTTTCCTCTTTAGGATGCTCTTAGCCCTGGCCCCAAGGCATCTGGTTCATCCTGTGTGCCCGTCCACCGCCAGGAAATGCCAATTAAAGASGTTTGAGTTTCCTCAGACATCAACATGATCGGTAAACACCCACAAATTTACCTCCTAGCTATTTAATCCTGCTCCGAAAGCAGCAGTCTGGAGCGAGCTTTTGGGGACTGCTGGCTCAGGGAACAGGCAGAGAGTGAGGAATCAGTTCCCGTCACGGCAGAGCCCACGCTGCCACCCTGAGTCACAGTTGCTACTCACTTCACCTCTGTGGTGACATCTGTGACAAAAAGATGTTGGTAGCGCTAAGATCAACAGTCATGAATACCGCGGAGTCTGGGCTCTCTTTCACGCTTGTGCATTTGCATCTTTCRCACATTACCCTTAGCACAAGTGCCATTTCTATTTCCTTATCTGCTTCCTTGACTTGTCAAAAGCGAATTTGGGGAGGGAATTTTTCAAAGAGMTTGCGAATGTCGGGAAGAATCGGTGTGAGACAGTGATTCCATCTTCGCCTTAGGGCACAGGTAGGCTATAGCTCCGGAATGCAGGCRAACAGGTCTGGGATGTTTAGAGGCTTCGACTTTTTTATAGCCTGAGGAAATCCAAAATGTCCCTGGGAAAGATTTGATTGGTTGGCTCTGCTTGCTTTTGATTTGCAAATTACAGCGAGCTCCCCCCACACCGGAACGCAGATTCTGCATCCCTGCAGAACTCTTCCCCACTGATCCCAGCCTGTGATGCTCCTCCATCCAGCTCCCTCCTGGCATTCCCAAAAAAAAAAAAAAAAAAATTAAAAAAAAATCTCTTCAGGCTGGGAGGCTTCTGGTCCCACTGCGGCCAAGTGCCTGAATCAGCGAGCGGGGCTGATTTTCTTTGTGTGTGTGACAAGAACCGGCGTGATCGGCGACAATCAGACTGCAGTGCGTGGAACCGCTGCCTAAAAATCCGTGATTTCAGAGTCCTGGCSTTGGTTTAAATAAGATTTAGCATAATGTAGGCTAAACCCTAATGTAGGCGCTGCGCTGTTTGTTTGTCTTTCGAGGTAAAATGCTGCATCTCCCTGCCTGGATGATTTATGACAGATTAGGATGTCGGTTAATCTCTTCTTGTTTGGGTAGATGACCGTGGAGATTAATCCAGTATTGTCTGCAGAAGGAGCCCATCAATGCAGATTACTAATTTTGCATTAATTATTCCTCTGTACGCCAGAGGGATGCAGCCAAGGATAGACACCAGCCTCTTAAATCTCATTTCATGAGAGAAACAGGAAAAGCACAGCAGCTGCTCTGGCTGATACTGGTTCTTTCTGACATGCTCAGTTCAGTTTCCTGGAAAATACAAAAAATCCACGGAAACTGTAGATTATGATCTCCTGGGGATGCAGAAAGTGGTCCTGAGTGAGGGGATGTGCCTGGCTGGCCGAGCAGCATCTCTGTGCGCACAGGATGTGGGGAAAGCAGCATTTCTGATGGGGAGAGCTGCTCTGAACCTACAGGAACACGAACTGGRACAAACTGGAGCAGCAGCGTGCTGGGAATGGTGAGAACCAGAGCAGCCTGGAGGAGCCCCAGCGGAGGATGCTCAGAGCAGGACGGGGGAGCCGCTTCTGTCAGCGCTGCTCTGAGGGGCTGCACCTCCCCTCCCTCTGCATTCCAAGAGCATCGGGACACACACAGATGGGATTTTCCTCCTGGCT